GGGACAGTACAACGTCTTTGACCATAGAAACCAATTGGGCTGAGTTAAGTACTGCTGAGGAGGTCTTGCCAGTGAAAGGTAGCAAGGTATCCGACTGAAAACGTGCTAGCTTATAGGTAGGGGAGTTGATCGTGGATACGATGGGTCATAGTGGAGTGCCTTGTTTATGAATCTTTGGAAGACCATAGAATCTAGGGGGTCTTGCAGCAGAAGGTTTTAGGGAGGGACGTTTAGTTGGTTCGATTAGAGAGGTCGAACTTGTGATGATCTTGTTGGTTTTTATCATTAGGCTATTAGTAGGGTCATTTTTAATTTTTGAGTAACTACCATCATTGAGTAGGTCCTGAATTTTATTGTTGTATGAGTTTTTATCCATAATTACAGTGGCATTGCCCTTGTCGGCTGAGAGGATGACTATATCATGTCTCTCTTTTAATTTCGCGAGTTCAGAGCGTTCATCTTTGCTGATGTTGCTAACGGGTTTCTTAGCATTCTTAAGAATAGAACCAAAGAGTATGGATCCTTGCAGTCACGAAAGCTTCAAATCTAGAATTGATAGCCTCTACGGGGAGAGTGTTCACCTATCTACACACAGGTCCCTTGCCACGGCTGCTTAGGGAGGCTAGACCGACCCCACCCAGCTAAGGTACGGGTCCCACCACCGGTCCGCTACAACCCGGCTCTGACAAGAGCCTCGGTTGAGGGTCCCAGGTTGCTGGTCCAGTCTTCAGGTTTTCGGACGTCTTCAGGCTTGAGTTGGCGAACACTGCCAGACCCGTTCAGAGGGCCGGCTTTTTATCCCCAGGTCGGGGCTTACCCCTCCCCTAATGACTCCCCCCCCCCTCCAGAACCTTCTGGAAGGTCTTAAAGGGTCTAAAATATTAAAGAGTTTTTCGGTGGGCGGTCTCTATCCCCCCCAGCCCTTGGGGGTCTGGGGTGTCAACCTCCGGTCACGGGTCACCCGAGGGGGGTTTTACCCCGTGACCGTGGTGGCAGGTAAAGCGACCTACAGTGCCTTGTTATGGCGCAACACGTGTGTGAGGTCACAATTATGCTTAATATAACTGGACAACGCAAAGCCATTTGCGTTTTGGGTCTTGCCTGGTTTCACCTAACAAGTGTTTATCTGCGTAAAATATAGAGGTGCTGTATACTTACATTTATTACAAAATATACTTACATAGTGTGTTTATTGCATTATAATGCCTTTACATGTACAACAGTGATTCGCTGTAAAGTACTTACATTATCAGCACTGTTGCCACTGGCACCTCAAGCCACGCCACAGGGATCAGGAACAGAGAAAGATGATGCCTTACCTCAGCCTCCTTTACAAACTGTTAACTTCACTTGATTATATACGTTGCTAATTTTAGGAAACTCTCTCTGTGTTTGCAACTCGTGTGTGTACCGCAGTTGATTCACAAGGCTGGACTTTTTTTGTGCCTGCCCAAGAAGCAGTGCATATGGAACAAAAATAGAGATTGGAGGGTTTCCAGCAGTTATAATGGTCTGTCCCGCCTGTTAAACTGTAGTCGTCTCACATTCTAAAGGTTTCCTGGTATCAGTTTTTGTGGGATAGGCAGAATTGAAGTATGGATATTGACTAAAGATGAGATCGTGCTAGCAAAGGCAGGCGGAATAATCCGCTTTAAGAAAAGTGGACAACATGAAGACATAGAGGATAGCAGATGCTCACTAGATGTGTTTCCAATTAAAATAAAAAAATTGGGAATCATCATCAGCCATGGACAATCCACTTTGGAAGAAAGCTTCTACAAGCCACCACCACCTTTCACGAATCTGCGATGATATTTGACGATTCTTCACCATACTGGCAGTGGGGGTTGGTGAAGGCAGGGAGCACAGACATGGAAACAGAATTACAACGTTTAACTACACTGCCCTTAGCTGACTACCAAATCACACGGTCCCACATCTGCCAATGACAAACTGGCATACATGGTGGTCACCCATCCAAGCATTATCCAGGCTCAAACTGCTCAGGTTCCCAGATCTGATTAGATTGGGTGCATTTCAGGTGATTTAGGCAGATAATTAACACTTACCTGTGACAATATTAGCCCATGAGTAATCTTTCCACAATTCTCAATGTGGAGGGAAAAACCAGAGGAGCCGGAGAAAAATCCACGCGACCACGAGGAAGAGAGGCATGCGAACTCCAAATAAACAGCAGGCCTCAGGGTAGGGACCGAACTCACGACCTCCTGCATACCAGGCGAGGGCGATAACATCTCGCCACCGCACTTTTGGTCAGCCTTTTGATGAAATCTGTCGGTTTATGCTCAACTTCGTTCACATTGGATCAACTTTCCGAGAAATCCTATGCCAACCCTCCACCCACCCGCACATCACAGCACGCGTAGACGAACAGCGGGAAAGATGGACTGAGCGAAATTCAAAATAAATTTTTATTATCTGGAATGTGTTCATAAACAGTCGTCTGGAGTGGTTCCGGGTGAAGCAGATCTGCATTCAGCCTATAACAAAGACAAAGATCCCCCGTATGGCCTTAACATATTGTTGGGGCAAGTGCTGTTAGCGAGCACCTATGAAGGCCGGCACGGCACACGAGGTGGGTGGGGGGGGGGGGGCAGCACCACGCCCGACCGCCTTTGTCTCCCCAGTGGAGATGTTTACTACACATCGCACCAGGTTCTCATTCGAGGCTGAGTCGATATAGGAGAGGCCCAGGACCGGTTCAAATAGTCGCCACTGGTGTTGGCCGTGAGCGGGAATCTAAGCAGCACGCTACTCAGCCTGTACCAACCTCCATAATACAGGTTTTTTTGGGGTTAGATCACGTGAATTTTAATGTGTCGTTAAACCCGCTACCACCCAATAAAGCCAATTAGTAAGGTTGGTCACGTAAACAGAACATGTTAATACAGCACACCGGTGTGCTGTACTAGTAAGTACTCATTGCAAATGTTGTGGATTTGCTCTCAAACACACCGGTGTGTTGCTTTACTAAGTGACGAATTGGCATGCTCTGTTTCCGTGACAAACCATACTAATTGGCTGTGTCGGGTGGTGGCGGGGTTTAACGATCCAACCCCCAAAAAACACCTGTATTCTGGATGCTATTGGTCGCGAAAGCCCTACTACTACGTGTTAAACTCCACCAACCTCATTCTCGTGTTCGACGTATTTTCTGGGAAATGCTAACGTGGCCACCACCATGTGGGGGCAGTGTTCAACCGTGGTTGTCAAAAGGTTGTCAAAATAGTGCTCTCCAACCAATCATAATCATCGGACGTGATTTACTCAGGACTGTGAATAGCACGTACACACAAGCTGATTGCATCGCTACTTCAGAAGTCCCCTTGAGCGTGTTTCCCTCCTTTGGATTTCACTTTCAATGTCCGAATTGTCTCTTCATAGTCACCCCAACTAAATGATATTTCTTACCCCAGAGGCCCACACACTCCAAAATGCCAACAGCGCATAAGTCTATTGGCTGGGCCTTAAGCCGCGACCGCATCCCTGCTTTCATAGCCTCGTCGCCTGAAACGTTTATCTCGTGAAGGTACAAACAGTTGTAGTCAAAGAGAGACTAGGTCTATACTGTGTCGTATGTTCCAGAACATTCCATCGATGTACGTGCAGAGTGTGGCCATGTATTATGCTGAAACACTCCCTTTCCAAAAAGATCAATCGCCTTTTTAAACACTATCAGGCTTCAATTTGCTTTCAGACAAGTCACACAATTTAATAATGGGCCAGTTTCGGTTTTCTTTGAAGGGAAATGTTACCGTATATAATATACATATACCCAAAATGCACCACGGCGATGGATAGTTTAATTTAACACTGAGGTTTTCATAGCCAACGTGATTCATATTTTAGGTTAGGCCACGAAATGATCACACCAAATGTGTGATGAACCCTCCTCCACCCAACACAGCCAAATCAATGTTCACGTGTACAAGCGTTTAAACTCGCCAATTATTAGCGTTTCAGCTCACCCATTGGTTAAAATAAATTATCACAACCAAATTTGTGTCGATGGGTTTGAGGCTGGTCAAATAATTACGTGGCCTCACCCAAAAAACAATTATGGATCATGCTTTTGTTTCGTGTTATTGAATACACACCTACCATGTGAATTATAGTGTTTAAGTATAGATTGGAGTACAGTAATGAGTGACCACTTCCTGACAACCTTTGATCAAGACTACATCTCCGTGTAAGCCAAATGCTAAAGGGCATTTCTACATGAAGTTAGATCTCGTATCTCTGTAGATTCCAAATTGCTCAAACACGATGGGTAGTGGAGTCGGGTCGTGTGCTGCATGTTGTTCTATGCAGCATCAAACCTCAGAATGGTTTTAGGATACAGTAGTTGCATAAGACAACCAGGTTAACGTGTTATTCATTTGAATACCATATTGTGTATAATGTGGCTGCAGAATAATTAATTTTGGGGAAACAAGCAATGTGTTCAGTGAGCATGTGTCAGAGAGATCAACAAGTGTGCCACTACGACGACAGCTTTGGGAACGTAGCCGTTTTGCAAAAAGTGGTTTCTCGAGCATTGGGGGCGATACTCATCTCCTGTTTACAGCCCTGAGCTAGTGGTGGAATTGTACATTCCTATGGCGGGGGTCCGTCCATCGGACAACCACTGTTTATTCCCCCCCCCCCCCCGAGTGATACTCATTTCACCAATCCAAAAAAGGAGTTGAACTCCCAACTCTTTCCGATGTCACCGCGGAGCAAAACTTGTTTGCTTTGTTTTGTTACAGCAAATGTGTTGCTGCTGCTGCCGCCGCCGCTAGGATTGCCCGTGGGGGTGGGCTTGGTATGGTCGTTCCACTTCCTAATTTAGAACACGGGGATTTCCAGCGTGGTTGCGCGCAGCAATGTCACGCGCTCTTTTACTACATTGCGAAAGTCAGTTTTTATTGCTGAAAAAAAGACACCTGTCTATGCCACGTTAATTTCTCACAACACACATGCACGAGTATACAATACGATCCTCAAACACAGTTAAGTGATTGTTTATTCAGAGCCACGTAAAGAATTTAACATCCAGAAGTATCCATGTGTATAAAACTGCCTTTTAATGTGTTTTGTGACCTCGACACGTGAACACAGTATGGTGGTATGAACACAAATGCAGCATAATTGCACTTTTGTTGTTTCACGGCATGGCTTCAAGTGTGAACCGATTTTTAATTTCCCCAATCTCTGCCTCATTGAATATTACGTACTGCAGTAGTAAACATACCGCCATGTTACATGATTGGGGTACAATGATCGATTGATCAATGCACCTAAGCTCACTGTCGTGAGATTTGTATGCTGAAATGGATGGGTTCACATTCTGTGCAGCCAGTAGAACTGCTATCATTAACCGCACTGTTCACAGAAACAAAGTTGTTTAATACTCATCAGGCCCCATGGTGTAGTGTAGTCTCGAACTCATATCCCAATTTTAACTTTCTAGCCTGCCTATGTTCTTTGAAGAAGGGCAATTGCCCAAAACATCACCCATTATATATTTTCCCTATAAGGCCATAGTGTCATGGACAAACGTGTTCAGTTTTTGTAAAAAAAAATCAAGGATACACTCATGAATCGAATCGCGATTGTGAATGCCAAATAATCCCTATTACAAAGCGACATAACATCGTCCGTGTTGAAGTACAGTATAACAATAAGTCACTTTTGTGGAGATTACAGAACCTGCAGTGTTATTAGACCACACCAGTTGCACAGCAAACATACAACCTATTCCATCCGAAAATATCTTGTATGTTGACAACATCTGTAAAGGGGAAGTTCACTGCAATTGAGTTTCGTTTGCACTGTCTCGTGCTTAACATTTGCCAAAGGTTAACGCTACATGTTTAAACTGGAAATTTTGCAATATTTGAATTTTATCATTGCTACAATTGTGTTAAGTGGTTTGCATTGTTATCCAATAATGGGGAAATCTAATTATGTGTATAAACAAGTGCCTTTAATATATGTTCCATTTAAAACATGCACATGTTTACAAGTTTAATGTATTCATCTTGGCGTCCATGAAAAATTTACAGAAATGTGAAGTAATATTTTTATATACTGTATGTAAATTGCTGTACTGTAATTGATATAGCGAATTAAACTATATGCAAAACCAAACCAATGTGGATCTTCAAACCTCTTATACTCTTCAAGAAAAGTTCACACAAAAAAATTAAAGAGTATTAAATGTTAGGTTATTTTCGTTAACATAAGTAAACTAAATAGATTCCTTTATTGATAACATCAATCCTGAATGCATGTCATATCCCATATAGTGGGCTGATTAACGTATCTATTATTGTGATGTCTCCAGCCTGCATACGCATCTCACATGTTATCGCGGACTGTGCTTTACCCTATATTATATATTATAATGAGATGTTTTTCATAACGCGATGTTCTTCAGGAATGCAACTACCGCGTTGTAGGAGAGCAGACTGTATCTGTGTGTGAGCTCCGTCACTTGTCAGCTATAAAGCCCACCAAAGCGCATTTGCTCTTGGGTATGTACACGATGTCCTCCACCTCACCGCCACCATTGCTAGGCTTCTGGAAGTGGATCTCAAGTTGGTCCTCCATCTCCTCTTGTGTCAACACCTCCTGTATGCCCGTCAATAGTACGGTCCGCCTGCTCACCGCTGTGAATGTCTGTTGGAGAGTGTAGGTATGCGTGTTTGTGCACACAAAATCATATATTTCTTGAACACGTTTTCAGTGTAAAAGCATCCTGGTAGGCCCACAGCCTATGCATACCAAGCCCATGGCCCAACGCTAACGTGTTCACAGCTTGTTGCAGAGGTTCACGATTCAAGGCTGGTGGCCGCTCTGGTTGTTACTGCGGGTTTATCAACTATATACGATAAGTCCTCGCTTAACACGTGTTCACACGACACATTTTTCACTATTACGCGGCTCTTCCATGAGGGAACACAACAGTTTGAGCGGTCGACGACGAAATACTTTCTTGAGTTGCGCAGCTGAGTGGTATGATTCAGTACGTGGAATGATACGGTATGATACAGTATGTGGCAGTGTACCCTAATCTCAATTCTTTGTCCCACCATGGGATTACTGCAGGCTGATTTTTTAGTGCAAATTAGTAATTCACTGCTTAACGCATTTTCGCGTAATGTGGCACTTTTCAGGAACACAACTACCGCGTTAAACGAGGAATAACTGTTTACTCAATATCTGCTTCACAGTGGACGTAGATCCCATGACGTCATTCAAAACAAGTAGGCCACCGTGTGCCAGGGTCATGGTCTAAATTTGACAAATTACTCAAATTGGATTTGACAGCAATCATTGCCCCTACTGCCAGACTCATGCCCATTTTTAGGCCAGGTGCTAAGTCACTTTGTGCCCAAAGGGATAACTGCCACTGGAGGTGTCATTTCAAATGTTTTAGATGAGATGCCATGCAAGTCGCCTATCATGTGTAAAGTGCTCTGAGAAGCCCTGGCATAACCAGTGCTCTATCGAAAACTAAAGATCATTATAGATCACTTTGTACTACCTGCCAGACTTCTAGGGCAGCCTTCATATTGGGCTGCTACAGAGCCTGTTAAGTGCCAAGCCCCAGGACAAACATAACCAAGACCAATTCATCTTTCAGCGGTCCTGTATCTAGCTCTGCACAGTTCAAGGAATACCCATTGCATACCATACCTTGAAATTCATAAGTTCTCCATTTAAAACAGGAGATACCTTGACGCGTATCTCCTCCCTTCCAATGTTAATATATTGCCTCTTTTGCCGGACAACTGAACCTGCAACTGAAGAATAGCACAGAGGCGGTGAACACATGACAATGTAAAAGGGGAAACCTGAATAACCTATTACATTTAAAATAATCTGTTCATTCACTTTCACGTCAATTCAATTACATTTTCTTTAACTACCATTAGGGCCTTTTGAAGTTGTCTTTTTTTGCGAGAGACATCTGCCTTTTAGTACAAGCACAGTTATTGAAAAATGTGGTTTTATTTTTTACAAATGTCAGGAATTTTCGAATTTGGGATTTAGTTTACTCGAGAGCATATAAGAGCTTATTAGAAGTGATGTCAAAGTTCACTTTACTGAAAATGGTATTTTAAAATGTTGCTTCATAGCACTAATACATGCACAATTTACATCTGCCACATATTTAAGTACCAAGTACTCTGTTATACATTCGAATTTATGTCTGCACAGAAGAATGACATACATAAAAGTCCCAAAATTGTCACGTGATCTTTTGAGGCACCCCTCTTTGTAGCAGCCAAAAGGTCATCTCAACATGACTTTAGGCAGCAGGGTGGTGCAATGATAACACTTGTGACTCGCAGTAATCATCATCTGGGATCGATTCCTAATTTGGGTGCCTTTCTGCATGGACTTTGTGCGTTCTCCCCTTGTACTGCATGAGGTGTTTCTAGATTATCTGGTTTCCTCTTATAGCTAAAAAATACATATACTGTGACTTGTATTGCTCAAATATTCCAATGCTGAAAATTACCTATAATTTTCTTAATTGGGATTACGCATTGCTACATCAACCCCTACTGTGAGAAATTAGGAACCTCCTGAAAAAGTCTTGCAACTCGGTACTATGTATGTTGAACCTCTTTCTCACACCGTACGTAGCCAACCGTGCTAATCAGAGGTGCGATGGGAGAACAACAAACTAAACACAAAAAGCAGTTGTAAATAAATTAATTTTCAATATAGATTTAAAAGTGCATAGCTCCAGTGGCTTCCTAATATCGGAAGGAAGAGCGCTCCAGATGGCCGCAGAAGCGCCTCTGAAAGCACGCGATACAATAGCCATCTTTGTTCGATGGCTAGCCGGAAGCCGCTGTGAAGATGAAAGCCTCAGTGAGGCTTTCCTCGGTAAACATAATAATAAAACGTGAAGCAGTGATAATGGACCTGTGCACTTACCACTGGACTTCACAAACGTAATAATAGCTGTCCGTTCCTTCTTATTGTACTCCACTTTCTCTATATCACCCCCACCATTCTTGGCTTTGTAGAAATGCAACTCCAACTTATCCTTCATTTGTTCTTCGTCCAAGGTGTCTGGAATTTCTGACACAATAATCTGCTGTCTACTGACTTCAGTTGAGATCTGAAGAATACACACAGGTGAATGTTTCAGATTCTGTAGTGCCCAGTTGTGTACTTGTATTTAATGTGCCAGGATTTTCTGGACAAAATAATACAAAGTTAGAGAATGAAACAAAATTAAATGGTACGCATTTTATTCATGGCGTGCAGTTAGTTGTGAACCTCTCACCTTGAACTCCTGAATGGCTTCGAGCAAAGGCGACTGAGCCTTCATTTCTATTTTGAAACCGTCGAACGCTACATTGTGACATTTTGCAGCGAGTACACTTTGAGCAACTGTAAATAAACAGAAACCATTCCTGAAGTTGCTTAAAGATTAAGATGTCAGTTTACAGTACAATTGTTATATTGGAGATACTCATGAGAATGCTCAACTATAGTTTTCAGTTTGCATAAATTGCTTTGCCAAGTGAGATACGAGTAGTGGAATATTGTGGTGGCGCACTGCACTATGACTTTGGCAAACTGTTCGATTCCTGGCTAGAGCTAACACCATGGGTGAGTGGTCTCTGCAATAGTGCTGGGCTCCACCCCCACTTCAACAACTCACACTGGCCAGCTTGGTGAAGTATGGTTATACAACTCCCATTTTACTAAAAGTGCATAAAGTTGCCTTTACCCAGCACTGGATTGACAAAGAGTTGTAAAAATGTACTCGTAATGTGGGAACAATAGTAGGTAGAGACCTGGCTTTATATACATTTTCAAGAGAACTAGCAACCCCTATGTACTTTGGACATGGCCGTTCGTCCCTCCCTGCCAGCCGGCCAAACTTGTATAGAGCCCTGTCTTCCTCAACCTTTCTCTCATCTTCTCATACTATATATTGCAGTTTAGCTCCAATTTCTCGCTTTGCGTTTGATTCTATTTCTAAATTACTTTGTCCCCTCTCCTCCCTCCGCTGTATCTCACCCACTTCCCTTCCCCACTCTCTCCATGTTTCTCTCACCTCTCGCTCTCCTTATTCCCACCTCTCCATTTTCCAATCTAAATCTCGCTTGCCTCTGCTTGATCCTCTCTCCCCCTGCTTTGTCACATTCCCTTGCTGTCCTCATTACGTTTTGTTCTCTCCTCTCCATTTCATGCCCTTTAAAGCTCTCCCATCCCTCATCTCCGTCTCTTCTTTCCTCCTCTATCTCCCACCCTCACCTCCCTCTTCTATCCCCCACCCTCACCTCCCTCCTCTATTCCCCTCCCTGACCTCCCTCCTTTGTTCTTATATAGTATGCTAGCATTAGTATGATAGCACATCCGGGGTGGAGGTCAGGTGGGATGCTGGTGACGCAATCACGTAGATGAAGGGACCACCACGCACGACCACTTGGGACCGTGGCACCCAGCCATACAGGAATCTACCCAGGTTATCCAGCCAGAAAACTTATCATATAGTATAAAAGTTAATAAAAAAATGTCATATTGATATCACAAGCCAAATGGGATAATAGTGTCCGATTTACGATGATTACCAGTTATATTTACCACTTCAGAAAACATTAATCATATGTTACGTTAAAATACTTCCGGTTTCATGTTTGGATTAAAGTAGGGTAACATAAAAAAGGATGGGGTGTTGTATAACGAATCGTTCACCAAATCCTATTTTTCCCATATACCTTTGAGTTTGCAGACAGCGGATTTGCCGATTGTGGCTATTCAAGAACGTATGGTCAAGGTCTTGGTGTACAGGGTATCGTGGATTAGATCACAATTTATTGGAGTTCTCCTGTATATGTGAAAATGTTAATTATTTTAGCAGGAAGATGAAGAGACCTATAGTGAGGAATATAGAATAACAATGGAAGAAAGTGCAGATTCTTGCCAATAAATAAAAAAACATACCTTCTTCACTCTCAAACGTGATGAGCGCTTGAGGTCCTTTCAGAGGGTAAATGATGCGTGGAATGAATTCGTATTCAACCACAATTGGTATTTTAGAGTCCCTTTCAATCAACTTCATGGGCACACTCTTGGAAAAGCTCATCAACTTCTCTGGCAGTGATGATGAAATCTGAAATAATTAACATTTTCACATATACAGCGAGAACTCCAATAAATTGTATACTTTCATTATTAATTCATATTACCGTATTGATGAAACATGAACAGTGGTATGCATTGCATGTTACAAAGATTACGCAAAACATGATTCCATTCTATTTAGGATTTATCTAGCACGCTTTCCAGGGCACATTACAACACAAGCCGGCGGCGGTACAGAAGGGGCAAAAGGGGAGCAACGGGTGGGGTGGAGCGGCTGTCAATGAGGGAGGTGACGGAAGGAATGGAGGGACAGGGGCTGGGAATGGAGCTGATATTGCAGGGGTAGGGAAGGAGGAATGCGGTGGAGTGCGATGGTGAATGAGGGTGACAGATGGGTGCAACGTGGATGAGAGGCAGCGGGGTATGGGGCACATGCGTGAAGTGGAAAGATAGATAGGTGCTTTGGCTGGGCATGGATGAGGGTAGGTGAAGGGTGGTAGTGGAAGAGGTCTGGTGGCCGGATAGTTTAGCTGATTGAGGAGCACAGAGGAGGGCTGGGGGAAGAGATGTCGTTAGGTGCACACAGAAAAAGCGAGATGTGGGAGCCGGGTCAGGAATTATGGTCGTAGGAGGAAGAGGACCAGGGGACTGGGAGTGGGTTAGAGGCGGGGAAAGGTACCGGTAGAGGTGGAGGCAGTGGAAGAGAAAAAGCAAAATAAAAGAGAAAGGAGCTGAGGGCAGAGGGAAAGAAGGAAAGCGAGGGGGAGAGTCTAACGTGGCGAGGTAGTTTGTTCCAGTGAAACGGGGGCAAGCAGAAAGAAAGAACGAAAGCGAGACTGGGTGCAAGGAGGTGAAGGAACAATGAGAAAAAGGGAATATGGAGATGGGAGGGAGCATGAAAGGACGTATAAAGAAATGAGAGAAGAGAAGTGGGGGAGGGGACAAGACCGTGCAAAGCTTTGAATACTAGGGTGAGGAAATTAAAAAGACAGCAATGATAGACAGGAAGCCAGTGAAGTTGTTGGAGAGGAAAGCAGTGAGATGCGTAGGGAAGGTTGAGTACAGCGGGTGCAGCTACGTTTTGCATGTGTTGGAGAGGGATAAAGGCGTAAGCAGGGAGACCGACCAGGAGTGAGTTGCAGTAATCTAGACGAGTGAAGACAAGGGGAGTGTACGATGAGTTTGGCAGCAGTAGTAGTGATAAGGGGGCGGATTTTCCTGATGTTGTACAGATGGTAACGGCGTGTGCGAGTGGTGTTGGCAATGTTGGAAGTGAAGGAGACAGTGGAATCAAAGATAACACCGAGAGTGAGGGTGGAAGAGTTTGGGTAGAGGCTAAGGGGGGGGGGGAAGAAGTGGAGGGTGCAGGAGGGGGGTGAGCAAGAGGATGGAAAGAAAAGCACCGAGGTTTTGGAAGGATTTAGGGCAAGGAAGGTTTGGGTCATCCAGGCTGGTACGGCTGTCAGACAGGACGAGATGCGGAGGGAAAGATCGGAGGTGAATGATTTGAAGGAGAAGAAAATTTGAGTGTCATCGGCAAAGAGGTGATAGGAGATATCAAAAGAAGAAAGAATAGACTCTAGGGGAGGTGTGTAAACAGAGAACAGAAGGGGACCAAGTGCCGAGCCCTGGGGGACACCGACCGTGACAAGGGCGGTGGAGGAAGAGCAGTGGTTGAAAGAGACAGTCGTTAAACAGGAGGTTAGGAAAGAACGGAGCCAAGAGAGATGGGTGTCAGAGATGCCGACGTTGGAGAGAGTGGCTAAGAGGATGGAGTGGTCGAGGGTGTCGAAGGCACAAGATCGAGAGAGAGAGAGATAAGGGCGGAGGATAGACCGCAGTGACGCCAGTTGGCCAGGTGGTTGTAGATGAGGAGAGTGGTTTCAGTGGAGTGGAAAGGGCGGAACCCAGACTGGTGGAGAGGATACAGTGAGTGGGAAGAGATGTAGGGTGAGAGGCGGGGAGTGCACTAAGCATTCAAGGAGTTTGGAGAAATAATAAAGCACGGAAATAGGGCGTTAGTTTGCAGGGACAGAAGAATCTAGAGAAGGTTTTTTGAGAAGCGGTATGCTGATGGCAGTTTTGTACGGGTTGGGGAAGGTGCCGGAAAAGAGGGAAGAGTTAAAGAGAGCCAAGAGAAATGGAATAATGGTGGGGAGAATGGATGGAAGAAGGGAAGGCGGAAGGGGATCGAGGGAGGAAAAGGTAGGGTGGGGTTTTGAGATGACGGTAGACAGCTCCAGAAGAGAAACAGGGGATAAATCATTTCAGGAAAAAGTAGAAGGGTGGAGCGGAGAGGGGTTGGTAGGTGCAGGGATGTCAGGTGGTTGCGCAGTGAGCAAGGAGGAGCAGATGTGGTCGATCTTGGTCGAGAAGTAGTTGGAGCGGACCACAGGAGTGGGGCAGAAAATGAAGTGACAGGTGTTGCAGAAGATGAATGGAGCAGAGAGTTTCGGGCATTGAAGAGTAGGGTGTGGAAATAGGGAGGAAATGAGGGTAAGGAAGTATGATTGGCGAGAAACCTCCAGGGCCGAATTGTAATTTTTGATAATAGGGAAGTATATGAGGAACGTGATTCACGAGTTGGTGGGGTCCTCCAGATGCACTCCGCTTTGCGCACGAGCCGGCGCTGTGACTTGAACATTGGTGACAACCAAGGACATGGGGGGCGTTGCAGAGGGTTGAAGGCGAGCAGAGGTGCAAGCGCGTCCCGAGAGGATAAAAGTACTGAACTTATGACAGAAGAAGCAGTGTGTTGGGGTGCAGGAAACAGGAATCGGAGATGGGGGGGGGGGGGAAGAGATGAGGAAACCAAGGAAAGAAGTGCACAGTGCTCAAGGGAGCGTAGGTTGCGGCGGAGGTGCGGGAGAAGGCAGGGAACTAGGAGTGTCACGGTCATTAGTGAGTGATCGGACGGAGGGCAAGGGTCAACTAAAGGATTGGAGGCTGAGCACATATGCTCAGTGTCTGAACATGACCCGTGTAAAAGGTCAGCTTTAATATAAGCTTAACAATTGAGCAGTGAAATGCACGTTTGAAGTTGGAATATGAATTGATAACAATTCATGTTTGGCTGTCAAAATAATAAATTGGTGCATCACTGCAATCAGCAAGTTAAAGACATGGGTTGGTTGATCAAAATAATGTTTTTACTCCTGAACTCAGTGTTTTGAGAGAGGACAATACAGAAAATTAGTTCTTGCGGGCATCTGTGCAGACCGATGCTTAAAATATGTGATAATCACCTCTCATGAAGTGTGACATCAAAGCTGACAAAAAGCAGAAGCCCATAACTAGTTTCGAGTACCGTAATAGAATTAACATTATTGTGAATAGGATGATGAGATGTGGTAATATGCCAATTTATGCCCACCTGTTGTTTCTCTTCCAGCTTTTGACACTTGGATGTTGCATTTTCCAACTCGTCCTTCAAGACTTCCATCTCCTGATCATGCTGGCTTATTGCTACCAATTTTTTCTGCACCTCCGCCTGTAGGAAACATCAGAATTGACAACAGCACGAACAGTGATGATTCATATTCAACTCAAATTTATCTCGTGACTAGGGATGCAGGGAACACTTCTTTTTACTGTTTGGCTGAATACTTAATGCAATATTTTTCCATATTTGAATAAGAAGCGGAGTAGTACCTCTCTGTCTCACCACATCTGCTCAGGGCCCCATTGGTTTCTGAAGCAGCACTGAGCAAGGTACCCAAACAAAACTTTCAAGGGACTGCATGGGACCCTGCTCCTTGCACTCCCTCATCCTACTAACTGCTTGCTCACTACTCTTTGGTTCTATTCGGTAAAGTCACGTAGGTAAAAATAAAATAACAAAAATCACGACGTTTCGGCCACAACACAAGTGGCCTTCATCAGGTGAAGGGACTGGACTGTCCAGAGGACAGCATTTGAGTGAAGACAGCCAAGCCCAGGTCGCGTCCTTTGTCAAGGCGTTTTTTTGTTTCCTCCCACACAGCTTAAAGGACGTGACCTGGGCTTGCTGTCTTCACTCCAATGCTGTCCTCTGGACAGTCCAGTCCCTTCACCTGATGAAGGCCACTTGTGTTGTGGCCGAAACGTCGTGATTTTTGTTATTTTATTTTTACCTACGTGACTTTACCGAATAGAGCCAAAGAGTATGGATCCTTGCAGTCACGAAAGCTTCAAATCTAGAATTGCTTGCTCACTCCTTGTGTTCTCACCTTACTCACGTCCTTGTCTGCCTTCTCTCATTGCCCCATATCACCCTTCTCTGTGCCCTCCCTTACCTCTCTCATTTTCCTACCTCACCTCTCTCAGTGCTCTCTCTAACATCTCACTTCCTCTCTCACTGCCCTACTCTAACATCTCTTACTTTCACCTTTCTCACTCCCTTCCCTCTCACCTATCTCTCTCTCTGCTCACTAACTTTCCATCTCTCACTATCCTCTTTCATCTCACTCTCTCTCACTGCCATCTATCACAACCCTCCCTCTCCCACTGCCCTCGCATCTGTCTCACCGCACCCCCTCACCTCAAGCCTCCATCTCAGAGTGCGTGCGAATGTGAGACTCACAAATGCACGTCTCCACCAACGTAAGCCAAGGCTGAGAGTATCGTGCAGGTCACAAGTCCCCACCCCCAACAATGGCAGAATGACACGATACCCGTTATGTTATACGATGTAAAGACAGTACGGAGCGATAGTGGGACAGGATGGTTCCCCGGGGCCATGGTTACTAATGGTCGTGCTAATGATGATTGATGAGACAAACGTTGACAGGGTCACGTGAGGGGGAGCACGGGATCCAATGGGGGGGGGGGGGGGGTGGTAAGTGTAATTAGGGCGGTGAGTGACAAGAGCAGGTGCAAGCGAGGAGGATTCTAGAATAGGGGCGTGGCCGGACTGGGCAAGGCTTCAGAGCCCGGAGCTGGGGGCTGTTGGTGTGGGGGAATCGCTGTTGTCGTCGTCGTTGTCGCCTTGGATCGGGTCGTCTCCAACGTCCGTGAGATGTCTTGAAACTAGAAGCTATGTTGTCTCTGAATAGAGTTGTCTAACTACCCCAGTGCACCGAGTCACTCGCGGTTACTCGTTGAGTTGTCAGTGGACTTTATTCATAATAAATATACGGAAGAAAAGACGGTGTCTCTGAGAGCTACATTGTACATGAGTTACCCTGTGATTAGGATTGCCACATGTCCTAGTTTTCCCAGGATCATCCTCTCATACCGATTTTCCATGGCATTAAAAGCCCAGTTTTTGTCAGTTGCATAATAACACTGAACTGATGACAATGCATATTAAATTGCACATTTAGTTCTCCCCTCTTCTGGTTTTGTGCGAAATTATTCCCGTGATATGTTCCAGTTTTTGTGTACCTCAAAGGTGACTACCCTAGCTTGTGAGGGTAAAAAAAAACATTCTATCCCAAGTATTAGTTTGCTTTTATGGATATATTCAACTGAATTAGAATAACGTAGATTTTTTTACTAAATTTGATAGCGAATGGGATATTCAGTGTATCCCTAGTATTTACGTTGTCTTCCTGGCACACGTGAGTAGAATTTACACTATAGAAATGTAATCTACTTTGAAAATGTGTGTCTTGCTTAGTTATCATACAGATGCACTATGAGATGAGAGATGCAATGAAGCCAAATCCTACGACACGACCTGTCAATGACCTGCACGTGAACGTGACAACTCCAAGGTCTCCGAAGTTGTTGTTGAAAACCAACAACAGGACTAAAATAATGACTTAGATATGGTTATGGTAAGCCTTGTTCTCAGGTCTCATTCTAAGATACTGTATAATTGAAAATGAAACCGTTAATAATGATTTGTGTAGCTTACGTGTTCCAATTCGATAGTCTTTTGCAGATCCCGAATCTTCTTATCATATTCCCTCTGCATTTGCTCCATTTCTTGCTCCTTTTTCTTGAAGGCTTTCTCAGCTTCCAGCCTAATTTGCCTTATTTCATTTTTGTCTTCTTCGGCAGTGCGAGTCGTCACCTGCACCAGACACAAATTAAATCAGTTTAACTTTCCTGTGTGAAGGTTTGTGCAGATAAAAAAAAATTCATCGCCATTACAAGTCTGATGGTGGTGGAGAAAGTTGCTTTTTGTGGGTCCTATCATCTGCACTTTACCACCCAGATAAAAGCTTACAAACCGTAGATGAACGCAGATGATAGGATTTTCTCAATGCACAACATAACCACTGGGAAAACAGGACTGTTACTTTACTCATGTTCACTTTGAGATTATAATTGCATTTCAGTGTGAATTCACACTACAGTAGTAATTTTATCAACTTTTGGTGAAGACAGGCTTTGAATACATTTTTACACTTACATTGAAGTCAGGAGTGTCATCCATTGCTGTCTGATCAGCCTGTAAAATAAACATTTTAACACATTATTGATATCATTGCTATCACTGTAACAAACGTGCTCACAAGGTCCCATATGGTATCGTTTAACATAGACTAACATTTTCCAAGGTATAAAAGGTGGAGATGATCAATATTCCCACCTCTACTCCACCTTTCAGCAAGAGTTAAAATGTCCATCCTCATTACAATCATCTTATTGCGGTGGAGACTCGCTGTCGATGGGTTCTATTATTTGCACTTTACCGCTCAGATAAAAGGAGTACAATGTGTGGATGAACGCAGATAATAATATCAGGTCAATGCGTCCATTTGGATAACAGGAGTTTTACTAACGTTCACTTTGAAATGTGGTTGCAGATAAGCACTAGGTGCGACAGCCAATTCTGGCTATCGCCTGATAAGGCTGGTTGTAATTGCTGACGAAACGACGTACTCAAATTGTCAATGTTGAGGGTTTACTCTGCCACACACACCAGTGTGCTGAACTAGTAACTAATTGACATGTTTTATTTATGTGACAAACCTAATTGGCTGTGTCGGGCGATGGTGGGTTTTTACGACGCATTTATATTTTCCCCATCTAACGAAAAAAAACCCTATATTATGCAAATTCGTACCATTATATTTAGACATGCCAATGACCAAATCACCTGGAGCGTGCCTGACCGAGCTTGTCAGAAATCGGTAACTGCAGGTTTCGAGCCTGAATAGTGCTTGCATGGGTCACCACCATGCACAGGTTATTGGCTAATACGGGGCTATGTGGTGGGCCACAGAGGGCAGTGCCGTAAAATCCATTGTTGTACTGTTCTTATAGGATCCCGAGTGTATGCTCCCCACCTTCACCAACTCATACTGACCAGCGTACATGATAAAGCATGGTTAAATAACCCCCATGCTGGTCACACATCCAACAACAAGGTCTGCATAATAGACCACTGCCTGCTTCTATCATTTGCCAGCAGAATTTCAGATTCTCACCTGTTGTTGCTTTTTGGAATGTTTTATAACCAGAAGTCTGAGTAATGAAAAAACGGAAGGGATTCACATTCGCTAAGAAATCGCGTTGTGAGAAACGCAAAGTTCCTGGGCCTACATTGCTCACTGAATATTTTCCAAGTCGCTGGAAGAGTGGAGTAGGCACGTTGAGCTCTAGTAGCCACTGCCATGGCGAGAGGTATGATCAGGGGTCGGCAACCAAAATAACAAAAGGATAACAAAAAAAATTCGAATTCGGTAAAAACACTCAACATTTAAAGAGGCGCAATGCATGTGAATATGAGACGTCGTGGTCCTTGATGAATAACCTCACGAAGCTCTCCTTAAAGATCCGCCTGCTGCTCCGGAGCCGCAGGTTGCTGCCTCTTGTCCAAGATAAACGGGGACTTCCATGGTAAACTAGACTTCAAAGGTAAACTCGTCTCCCATGGTAAACTAGACTTCAAAGGTAAACTGGTCTCCCATGATAAACTGGACTCTCAGGGTAAACTGGGCTGCCATGATAAACTGGACTCCCGTGGTCAGGGCCCGGAAAGCAAAATAACAAGAGCCTTTTTTTCTTCTAATTCGGTTAAAAGCCCCCCCCCCCCCCAATATTTCAAGAGCTGCAATGCAGTCCTTAAAAGAGCCGCAGGTTGACGACCCCTGGGTTATGATGGATGCAGTATACCGGGGTGCGGAAATAATTCTTAGGTCCCAGACCAGGACAGACCCGACTGAATGGAAACAAGTTAACTCGTGATACTTGCATTTGGCAGTCGTGCACACGCACGAATACGATGTACGTGCCAGGAAGAAGGGCCCATCGGCCAAAACGTTGCCTATTATTTACATTTTATTTTCCTTTTGAGGCCACGCACAGCGTTGTCAGTGAATTTGTTGAGTTTTGTCGCTATTCAGGATAAATTAATCCCCATCACTAACCAGAGAGCAGCACGCGGTGTTTACAATTCATGTTTAATATGCTCTCGAACCCCCCCTCCCCCCGCCACAATATATTTATAGATTGAAAACGAAATATAGGCTAATTTAACTGAACGTATATCGAATTCGTGCTCACATGTATAAAGATACGTCGTTATAGCAAAATTCCGTACCCTGAGTCGCCGTATAAAGTTAACTATTTTATATTGTTTTCATTATGCGCAGTACGCAACTATGATGACCATATATGTGAACAGTATTATGAATCCACCCACAAATGATAGTTCAATGTGGCTTTGCATTCAGTTATCTATATTTACCCAAACACAACCCAAGCCTAATGAACCTACTTTCAAATCCCCGTTCAGTTTATTGTAAATATCCTTGCTGGGTAAAAATAGTTCCTTGAACAGGTCAAATATTACCATCCAGTATACAGTGGTATCTCGGTATACGTCGTTAATTCGTTCCAGAAGGTGACGTATACCAAACGAATTTTTCCCATAAGAAATAAATGGAAAGGAAATAATCCGTTCCAGAGTATAAGAAATTATATTTTATATGGGATATTATACATTAATGGGGTTGTATCAAACAATTCAGACACTACTTATTACTAAAATGCATAAATAAATTAAAATAAATTGAAATACAAACAAAATGCAAAATGTAACGTCACTTTACCTTTCTGAGAGGACCCATCTTGAATGAATTCGCAAAAAATATACGTTAAAATGACAAAAAAAACCACGTGAAATTTCACAGAGAGTTACAGCAAGGGTCGTGCACTGACGTGCACTGAACGAGATCTACAGGCAGACTGAGGATCGGCGCTTTGTTTCAGTCATGAACGGGGTCTACGCGGGAACGCGGGGACTCATCCCGACCCATATAAATTCTAGCAAGCGAGGCGTCGTATTCCAAGCAAGACATCGTGTCCCAAGCAAGCGCCTCGTATTCCAAGCAAGACATCGTGTCCCAAGCAAGCGCCTCGTATTCCAAGCAAGACATCGTATCCCAAGCAAGCGCCTTGTATTCCAAGCAAGACATCATGTCCCAAGCAAGCGCCTCGTATTCCAAGCAAGACATCGTGTCCCAAGCAAGCGCCTCGTATTCCAAGCAAGACGTCGTGTCCCAAGACATTTTTTTCTCGTCAAAACACGACGTATACCAAATTCGACGTTTTCCAAAGCGGTCGTATACCGAGGCATGACTGTATACACAAATAATAATGGAATTTATAATATGCACAATAATTCACAGACATAAATGACCGAAACGAAGGCACAGAGTCAACACTCTCAGTGTTGCTCGAAAGCCAGGCATAAGTACGTGACAACATTGTACTCAATTGTTATTTAAAGTGGTGCACGTTTCACATATATACACTAAAATTCACGCTGCAGCATTCATTTCATACACTTACGGTGAAGCCATTTTTTTTCTCATTGTCTACACTCATCGTGTGGATTGGCTCATCCTCCTTTGCTGCAGAAATTTAATTTTACCCATATGTGCTGTCATTGTCACAAAGGTGCCCGCAAAGTTCCTTCTGGTATTGTGTAACATTGACCAACCTTTTCAAAGGTGTAAAAGGGGGGTGGTTGGGGGGGGGGAGTGCTTAATTTCCCCACCTCTCTCCATCTTTCACGAAGAGTTCACTACAGTGTTTAAATGTCCATTCTCATTACAAGTCTCATGTCTTATGGTGGTGGAGAAAGTTGCTTTTGGTGGGTCCTATTATCTGCACTTCATCACCCAGATAAAAGCTTACAAACCGTAGTGCAGATGATAGGATTATCTCAATGTGCCACCATATCCATTGGGATAACAGGAATGTAACTTTACTCAAATTCACTTTGAGATGATAATTACATTTAAGTGCGAATTCACACTACAGTAGTAATTGTATCTACATTTGGTGAAGACATGCTTTTAATACATTTTTTCACTTACATCGAGGTCAAGAGAATCATCCATTGCTGTCTGATTGGCCTGTGAAATGCAAATGTAAGACATAATTGACATTGCTATCACTAACAAACGTCCCTACAAGGTCCCATATGGTATCGTTTAACTTAGACTAACATTTTCCAAGGTTTAAAAGGTGGAGATGATCAATATCCCCACCTCTACTCAACCTTTCAGCAAGAGTTAAAATATCCATCCTCATTACAATCATCTTATTGCGGTGGAGACTCGCTGTCGATGGGTTCTATTATTTACACTTTACCACTCAGATAAAAGGAGTACAATGTGTGGATGAACGCAGATAATAAGATCTGGTCAATGCGTCCATTTGGATAACAGGAGTTTTACTTACGTTCACTTTCAGATGTGGTTGCATTTAAGCACTAGGTGCAATAGCCAATTCGAGATATCGCCTGATGAGGCTGGTTGTAATTACTGGCGAAACGTCATACTCAAAATGTATATGTTGTGGGTTTACTCTCCAACACACTTGTGTGCTGAACTAGTAACTAATTGGCATGTTTTGTTAACGTGACAAACCTTACTAATTGGCTGTATCGGGTGGTGGCGGGTTTTTACGACACATTTATATTTACCCCATCTAACCCCCCCCCCCCATCTATTATACAATTTCGTACCATTATATTTAGACATGCCAGTGACCAAATCACTTTTAGCGTGACTGACCGAGCTTGTCAGAAATCGGAAACTGCAGGTTCGAGTCTGAATAGTGCTTGCATGGGTCACCACCATGCACAGGTTATAGGCTGATACGGGGCTATGTGGTTGGCCACAGAGGGCAGTGCCGATAAATCGGTTGTACTGTTCTTATAGGATCCCGAGTGTATGCTCCACACCTTCAACTCACACTGATCAGCGTACATGGTAAAGTATGGTTAAACAACCCCCATGATGACCTGATGCTCACCTGTTGTTCTTTTTTGGAATGTTTTATCACCAGAAGTGTGAGTAATGAAAAATATAGGAAGCGATTCACGTATGCTAAGAAATAGCGAAGTGGGAAACCCAAAGTTCCTGGGCCTGCATTGCTCACTGACAATTTCCGGAGTCGCTGGAGGACCTGGAGTAGTCACGTTGACTTGTCGTAGCCACATCCATGGCGAGAGGTATGATTAGGGGGGGGGGGGGGGCAGTAGGCAACCAAAATAACAAGGACACATTTTTTTCGAATTCGATCAAAACCCTCAACATTTCAAGAGGTGCAATGCATGTGAATATGAGACGTCGTGGTCCTTGATGAATAACCTCACGAAGCTCTCCTTAAAGATCCGCCTGCTGCTCCAGAGCCGCGGGTTGCTGCCTCTTGTCCAAGATAAACGGCGACTTCCATGGTAAACTAGACTTCAAAGGTAAACTGGTCTCCCGTGATAAACTGGACTCTCATGGTAAACTGGGCTGTCATGATAAACTAGACTTCAAAGGTAAACTGGTCTCCCATGATAAACTGGACTCTCAGGGTAAACTGGGCTGCCATGATAAACTGGACTCTCACGGTAAACTGGTCTCCCATGATAAACTGGACTCTCATAGTAAACTGGGCTGCCATGATGAACTGGACTCTCATGGTAAACTGGGCTGTCATGATAAACTGGATTCCCGTCGTCAGGGGCCGGAAAGCAAAATAACAGCCATTTTTAAAATATATAATTCGGTAAAAAAAGCCCCCCCTCAATATTTCAAGAGCTGCAATGCAGTCCTTAAAAGAGCCGCAGGTTGACGACCCCTGGGTTATGATGGATGCAGTATACCGGGGTGCGGAAATAATTCTTAGGTCCCAGACCAGGACAGACCCGGCTGAATGGAAACAAGTTAACTCGTGATACTTGCATTTGGCAGTCGTGCACACGCACGAATACGATGTACGTGCCAGGAAGAAGGGCCCATCGGCCAAAACGTTGCCTATTATTTACATTTTATTTTCCTTTTGAAGCCACGCACAGCGTTGCCGGTGAACGTGTTGAGTTTTGTCGCTAATCAGGTGACATTAATCCCCATCACTGACCAAATAGCCGCGCACGGTGTTAGCAATTCATGTTTATTGAGTTGCGTGCTCAAATAACTCACAACGCGCGTGTGAATATGCTAGCCTCCTCCACCCCGCCGCCACGACACATTTATGGATTCAAAACGAAATATAGGCTAATTTAACTCAACGTATATCGGAATTCGCGTTCGAATGTGTGAGATACGTCGTTATAGCGAAATTCCGCCGTATAACGTTAACCGATTTACACCGTTCCAATTGTGCGCAAGTTCACAACTATGATGACCGAATTTGTCGGATTGTAACACGCTCAGAAGAGTTTCAGACGCACTACAACAGGCGTGTGCTCGGTTCTTTATTAAAGTTATACAACAACAAAAAACGCACACACATACCCGCGGATTATAAGACGCAACAAACCCTTTGTCTTTGGGGGTGCTAAGCGCGTCTTATAACACGGCGAGTACGGATGTGTTGCTGTGGTCAGCGTTGCTTTGACTCTTATTAGTGAAAAAGAGTTACACGCGTTAAAATCGCGGCGGTGGTGAGCTGCTCGATCCAACAATCACCCGCCATAGTAACGTGGAACGTCCACCACTCTCTCAAGAGCCTCCAACAGAAATGGGCTGCAATTTCATCAAAGCTCGTTAACGATTCGAGAGACGTGAACACGACGACTGACACACCAGCAGTCGGTGTGCATGCGTCTGCAGTACAAAGTACCGTGTGTAGTACGCACGCAGGCGTGTGTGTGTATGTGTGTAAAAGTATAACACACAAATAGGTGCATGCGTCTGTAGTACAAATCACTGCGTGTGTATAAAAGTATAATTTACAAATAGTTAGCAGAAGGGGGGGGGGGGCAAGAGTCACTCTGTACTCACTGCGTTGCGCTTGCTTCCTTGTTCTGAACTGAGATCAGACCATGAGCCTTGCGCCTACTGCCGGGAATTGTCGTCACGATTTGGGTTTTATCGCCGACTCGCCACCGTCCTGGCCAGCAGGGAGCGTTCTCACGCGAGAGGTTCACAGTTTCATAGTTTCATAGTTCCATTTATTTGGTATAGCCATTGTGAGCCATTCGGCTCTTGAATCGGGTGTAACCGCAACAAACAACAAACAAACAAAAAACATGAACAAGAAAACATCTTAAAGTGACTTAAAGTGACTTTGTGCATGTGCAAACGGAAAATCCAGAGGAGTTCCGCGTTTCACGACGCTACCTCGAGCGCTCTTTTGGCAACGCGTGAACAACGCGAACTTTAAAAAAAATAAGTAATATTTAAAAACAAACTTTTTTTTTAACACGCTTTCATGAAACGTGCCGCGCTAGTAATTTGATTAACTCCACGACTCCAGGAAGTTTGCCCCGAAGCTTGCCACAACGTAAGAGGAGCGTGGCCAATTTATAGCCAGCGTCAGTTGAGCGTGGACAATTAGACCCAAGCCGAAACATAACATCAAATACAAAAATGTTTTAAAATGTGTTTCTTTATTTTTTTATGATAGAATCTGGTATTGCCATCAGTATGACATAAGTATACCGAGTTTGCAGTCGATACCACATTGGGAAGTGGGTTAAAATGGAGCTACAAGATTTGAGGATACAACGACAACAGAGTGAAATCGTGTAGTAAAAAGTGGAAATGTTTACTGCCGTGGAGCTGTCTGGAGGAGGCTGAAAGGTTTAAAGTCAAAGTGTGCCCCGGTAGTGCAGGGCGGCTTGGAGCACGCGGTGGTGCAGACACGCACGTTGCACTCTGAACCTGGCCACTCGGAATTCGATTGCCGGCTGCCGCTAACTAATATCAGCGCAGACTTGGTATTATCTGCGAACAGACCGTGTCCTTCCTCCCCCTTACCCCCTTTCACTAAGGGGCCGTCCACAAATGACGTCACGCACCTAGGGGGGTGGGGTCAGACATTTGTGACGATGTGTGACGAGGGAGGGGGGGAGTTTGAGAAATGTGACGTCACATCAAAATGCGCAACTTTAAATGAATATGGACAACACGTTCTACTTAATTAAATAGACTTTTTAATCAATGTTTTCTCCTACAACATCAGAGTACAGCGCCACATTAAATACGCACTACAATAACAATAGCTTAAAGCGATTTGAAGCATGTTTTATTTTCAAATTGGAAATATGGTTTGGGGGGGGGGCAGAGCTTTGTGACGTCATATTTGAAGGGGGGGGTCTGACTTTTTGTGACGCCGTGTGACGAGGGGGGTGGGGGTCAAAAATCGTTCAAAATCGCGTGACGTCATTTATGGACGGCCCCTTTGTTTAGCTATCATTTGTGGCCATGTCTCTCTTTAAAAAAAAGCTACGCAGCTCAGTGGGACTTACATGGTAAAATAAAAGAGTGGTAGTAAGCAGACATTTTCTTGTGTATATATACTTTAGTCATTGTACATTAACTGTTATTTCTTTCTGGCTCTACTAAAAGCCTAGTTGGTAATAATTTCTGGAGGACAGTTGTGATCAGTCACCGTCATGTACTGTCTATTTTTTGTCTGCAATAAGCATAATAAACAGAGGCCTGGCATATCTGCAGCTGCGTTTATAGTGGTAAAGTTGGTTTGTATTGGAGTGTGTCAGTCGATGTCGAAAAGTACCGTGTGGAAAAAGAGGAAGCAGCTTATTTTCGATTTTGCATTTGTTCCTTCAGGCGAGACATGTTCATGCACGAGTGACAACACATAGGATAATGCTCACACGACCGCCACTACAAATAAGTACAATTTTCATCCACTGCTGGATAAGCACCGACCCCGATGTTGTGTGTGTCATGGGAGTTATTTGACCATACTTTACGTTAATCAGTGCAAGTTGGTGGGAGCATTGAGGTATAATACAATCATGGATTATGGCTACACTCTTCTCTGCTCCCCATCGTGTGGCTCCATTGAACCGGGGAAACAACAATGTACTGTATAGGCAAAATAAAACAAGCAATGTATGGTTTGCGCCAGTTTGCAGCTTCAATGAGAAGCCAGAAACATTGTTGTGCGAATATTGTGCAACACAAAACAGTGTTTCTGGTAGGATGACATACCAATGATTCTAAGCGCTATTGCTATGATGGCTGCGTGTTCAAAATTACTCTATGTTGTACAGTATTGAAAATTCCATACAAAATCTTAATGGTGTAAATTTTGATTTAAAGCTTTCGTGACTGCAGGGATTCATATTCTTGGTTCTTTCGGTAAAGTCACCACGTAGAAGGGAAACAATAAAATAATAAAAATATAAATAATAAAATTCTCACGACGTTTTTTTATTTATTGTTTCCCTTCTACGCGACTTTACCGAAAGAACCAAGAATACTTAATGGTCTAGCTGTTTAATTGATACATATTGTTCCCGTCGACAGTCTGCTACTTTTAATACTGGAGAGTGGGGACACAATGGTTAACGCAATCAACTGAAAATGGTAACCCGAGTTGGTTCCCGGTCATGGTATTATGACTAGTTCTGACCTACTCTTCCCCATCAAGCACTGACCAGTGTTGAGAAGGAGTGAATTAACAAGTAAAAATTATTAGCAAACTTTTAAAAAATTGTCGATGTTTTTACTTATTGTAATTACATGTCAAAATTTTTAACTCGACCTGATTACTGCTTAGCTTAATGTTTAAAAGGACAAACTTGAATTTTAACGAGCTGTCCTTTTGATAACCTTAATATTTCAGCTGGGTGGCGCTACAGATTGACTAAAATATTAAGGTTGCACAAGTTCAAATTCATTTGGAGGTTGACGTAGCCCTTTATCCCTTTCGGGTCAATGAAATAAGTATTATTTTGTAGGAAATACTTGTCATCTGCAAAGAATGGCCCCACTGAAAATTTAGATTTTTCAGAACTTAGGGCTGTCAATAGACGTTAGTTCTGCAACACACTTATGTTTAGAAGAGGCACTCTTGTTAAAATGATAAGCAATCAAATAAATAAAACAAAAATACTGTAATCACTGAATTATTGCACATCCCATGTTCAGTAGATGCCCTTGGCCTTCAGGATATCCATAACTAAAAAGGGAAACATTTTTTGACCATTCAGAAAGTTGGAATACATAT